CCAGACAAAAACTTGGGGGTAATTATGATTTATTCCACAGCTGTTTCAATAATCTGACCCTCCATTAATCTGGACAGTTTGGTCAGGAACACGACGTCCAGATAATAAGCTCTTATGTATCACTCTGACTTTTGACACTATTCTTATATCAACTGAATTTTAAGCATAATACCTCATCAGTTGTTGAACATCAGAATTATCTTCAGTAACAATAAACGATGTGGGGTAGTGTCCAAACCAGAAAGTCATATTACTATTCCTGCTGTCTTTGGAAAGCTTCTTTAACAGTCTCATCTCTTTCTGGAAAAAACAAATGATTTTATATGCATTATACAAATTCAAACTAATCACACAGATATATACATGTATCATGGTTGACTGCAAAGCACCATTTACTAAAATATTACAACATGTAACATAAATTCCTTTCTTTTGTCAATGTTAATTTTGATTATTTTTTCAGTAATATTATGCCTATTAAAGGAATAAATATTGCCTACAATGATATTTTTGCACCGGTACGAATTATCCCAAATACAAGAACAGACAAAAAACAAAGTGGTCCTTGTGTGATAATCATGCCAAGCAGATGACACTGTGACAGTTATCAGATGGGGGGGGGCAAGGGGGGGGGGAGGGGTCATACCTCTCTGAGGGATCCACAGAAGTTAAAAGGCCTCCTTGGTCCAGGGTCTGGTGTAGCATCCAAAGCAATAAAGCTGTAATCCCCAAACTTCATCTTATGTGTGTACAAATAGGATGTGGGATTTATCCCCCCTTGTTCAGAGTATGTTCTAAACAGAATGTAAAACAATTATTTTATAATTTTCTTACTCAATTAATCCAGGAAAAAATTTGAGTCTATAATATACAGCTTCTGTAGTAAACAAACAAGGTATAAATAAACTCCTCAAATTTGCTTTAGTCTTTATTCAAAGAGATGGATCTATTTAAATCATTTGATGAAAACAATAATCATAAGTTTATCAAAGAAAAATTACAGGTAAACTGAATTTTTATAAAATGTAAAACAAATACATGTGCCTTGATCTAACTGAACATTAAAATTGTTTCAATAAAACTAATGGAAGATATCTGTTTTTCTAAATAAGCTAAAAAGGATGATCTATATCCAATAATTACTAATAAGACCTTTCAATGACGTCATGGTTAAGTGGGTAGAGCTGAAATTCTTCAAACATGTAATTATAGAAAAGAATACCCAATATGCTATATAATTTCTTTCTCTAATCTTTAACTAAGTGTTCATATAATTTATCATAAGCAGAAGAATGCATGTTTCATTATTTATATGTAACAGGAGAGGAGAAATTGTATGGGTGGATGGGAATCGAACCACTGAGGTGCTCTACCAACCGAGTTACCCAAGCCAAATCTGACCAATATCCACGACCCAAAGCTTTATATGTAAAACATACCGTATAAGCAGAATTTTTAGCGAGGATTTAATTTTGGCATTATTAGCGAGGGTGCCAAGATCGCTAAAATTTAATATCGCCAAAAATTAATTGCACTTTATTTGTAATAGCTACTTTATTGAGCTTTATAAAATCGCTAAAATTATATCTCGCTAAAAAAAAATACCAATTTTTAAGGACAAATCGCTAAATTTGCGTCTCGCTAAAATTTCCACTTATACGGTAATTCAAATCCTCAAGAGAGGTAAAAAAAATGAAACTTTTTTTTAGAGTGATGCAAATTTGGAATTCCAATTACTTTTTGATACCAGATTATAACTGTTAATTATTTGTGAACAAAACGCTTAGATAAAATACTGACCTAAAAAGATTTTTCCTATCATCCTTGCCTGGTACATTGAAAGCATCTACAAAGAAAATTTTAGTAAATTTTATTCACCAACAGCACAATTACCCAAAATTCTTCCACATTATGCAGATTTCATTAAATAAACCAACAAATAAATAACGAAATAATTTAGGGAATGTGTGCCCCTTGCTTAATGGGAAAATAGGACATTGTGGAAGATCCCTCTAAGCTAAATGTTGCTAGAGGAACAAATATAAAACTGATGTTGACCTTTACAGTACAATGCATATTAACATCTGACCTTGTGGCCCTACCCCTGGGGTCATTATTTGAACAAATTTAAATCTACACTATCCCTGAGGATGCTTCCATATAAATATGACCAATCATAGCAAAGCCTAAATAAGAACTGAATTCATCATGAGGAAACCAATTTATGCAAGATACTGTATACAGGGAAAATTTTACCCACGTTTTATTTTAACCCCTTTCGCCCTAACCTCATTTTGGCGAATTAAAAAAGGGGCGAATTCAAAGTATACAATACAGTATAATTTTTAAAACAAAACTGTGACTAGGCTAATTTAAAATGGGGCAAAATGGTTTGCAAGTGTGAAAGGGTGAATATAAACTGGGGCAAAAAGCCTGGATACAGTATTAAATTCTGACCTTGACCTTTTCACCTCAAAAAACAAAGGGGTCTTCCTTATGCTATTGAGATATTTATACTGAATATCAGCACTTAAAGGCTTTGTAAGTTATTGTTTGGAATCTAATTAATGGGTAATACACAGAATGAATGATAGGCAGACTTAATTAATAATCCCCCTTTCAGAGAAAATCAGTGGACCAAAAAAATGATAAAGGGGAAATACGTGTACATGTACTGGTAATTTAAAGGGTATATTCTGATATAACTTACCATGATTTCCTCTTAAATCAAGCCACTTAACGTCATTATTATGCTTCTGACATAGAGTCACCACTTCATCATAACCTTTCCATTCTTCTATAAACTGGGCTGAACCTCTTTCATTTCTATACTTGGCATCTGTAAGATCTCCTACAATGGTTAACCATCCAAAATCACAAGAAAATTACATACGTCATTAGAAATTACAAGGTTTCAGTGAATAAGATAACTTTTCACAGATTGATAAAATTCATTGACAGAATTTCTAGACTTCCCTTTTACCTGTAACAATAATCAACTCGGGAGTTATTCTTGGTAGATGATGACGACAGAATTTGATTAAGTCTTCAGGTCTTTTAGGATCTTTGAACTTACTGACATGGATATCTGTTAGCTTAAAATAAAATTAAACAAATAAATTGTTTACTTTTTGCATTTACAGCAAAACTTGGATATAACGAAGTCACTGGGACCTATAAAATTACTTCACGTCTATATCCGTAATTCGTTATGATCGTATAAGAAAATCATTCAATTAGTATAACTGGGGATCCAAGCTGACTTCGCTATATCCGGGAATTCACAATATCCGTTTTCGTACTAAAAGAGTTTTACTGTATTTATATTTTTACAACATAAGTACTAGAAGAAGCTTGTTTAGCATTATATATATAAATTTATATCCTTGAGTATAAATGAACTTTGTTTTACCTACAAGATCCTCATGGATATCATTCAGGTTTTTCAATTGATTTGATATATACCGGTAATGAGGATGACATATTTGATATATGCAATCAATATATATTTAGAAGGTAATGCATACTGTAAAGACACAGTTTAAGAAGTCTAAGGTGAAACAATATGCTTCCATAATGATACAAAATACAATACAGTAATTTTTTACGCAACTATATTGATTGAAGGAAACAAATTCAAAGAAGTTGTAGCAGGCAGTAAATCTACATGCTGTACTGTCAACACCTGACTAACTCTGATTAATGTTTTTTCATTGATTTGCTCCCATTCACTTTATAGATTCAAGTTAAACTTTTTTATAGGCATATTAATGCTTAAGCATATTGAACCTAATTCACAAATACATAAAAATATGGGAAAAAAATTACAAATGGTGTCTTTTGGGGGCTAAATAAAGCCGTTTTATGAATAAGTATTTGTCAAGGATTCTGAATTTATAACACAGGACTAGATTTTATCACTTGGAATGGACAGATGACATAATCATATTCATAGCGAGCGCAGTGAGCATCGCGAAGCGACGCTTGTCACTGCGAGCTCTTAAAGCAACGCCTGTGAGAAGAGAAAATTTGGACTACTGCACATTCATTCGATAAAATTTTTTGATGCAGTAATTTGGACCTACAATGCTTCACTTGTTAAAGCTACGTTCTCACGAGAATAAGCAGCAAAAGTTCAACTAAAAGTAAACATGCCCTGATTTAATGGATAAATATTGAAGATAATTGATAAATAGTAAACGAAATGTTCATCATTTATTTTCAGCACTGTTCAGGCTTCTTTTTTGGAAATGTAACTTACGACGTCATGTGATGACAAAGTCTAGATGCACCAAATGTCACATGCAGTTTGACAAGCCCAATCTAAATCATAACAAAATAAATATCTGCGCTTGCCATAACGGTCGCACCGTCAACATATTACATATATATAGTGTTGTTGATAAATTTCTATATCAGAAAAATGCCATATGATAGGAAAGCATTTAAAATAAGATAGATAAGGCATTTTAACCTTTTAGCCACATGACGATTTTCTACCACAACTTGGTGATGTCATAATGTACTCCGTTGCATCATCATCATTGCAAATAACTGAACAAGGTAAAATCCTAAAAATACAATGTTTAAAAACATCCCTTTCGGCGGCCTTCCCAAAAAATGTTACGTTGGTGTAAAAAAGATAATGCAAATATAAATTTGCCGCAATGTATTTGCCTCTTGGTTGTTTAACTTTCAAGCTACATATACAAAGCGATTTGATTTAACCCAAATTTAGACATTACCTGAACAAACCACCATAGCTTTGAGTCATCTTCATTAAAATGAATTTGGCTAATTTCGTTTGGATTTCGAGTGTTATCCACATGTTCTGTATTAACTATAATTTCTATAAACCCAATAAAAATACAGAAACTCGCAACAAACATCAAACTGACAGCAAACAGTTTCATTGCAGAAATCGGAACTGTCTGTTCACCGACAAAACGCAACAGGAAGTGAAGACTTTTCTTAACTTCTGTGCTGAAGAGTTCTAAAGAAAATGAAAGTGGAAAAGGGAAAAAATGTAGCTTAGCCTTAGCTAGAAAGAATTGTTATTAAACAATGACAGATTTGAGTGCAAAAGGTAAGTGTTTTTTATTTACAGGCTAGACCTATATGCAATCGGTTTGGATTGATTAAAACCGTAAGATTGCAATCTGTTTTCTTTATCAAAACATCAACTCCCAATGTTGTTCAAACCACAAAATTATACAACTGATGTATACCACATATATGTTTCAAGAAAATGTAATTCATTTAAACTTGTTTTCATAATTTTTTCCATAAGTTGTGTTTTGTGTACATGTTTAGTGTAGAGAACATATTAATAATGCATATAATTATCTTGAATGTGTTTCTATAAATTAACAAGATATATCCATTAAGTAAAGGCAGTAAACTTTTTGTTGAACATTTGCCGATCTTGCTAACAAGTGATGCATTGTGGGTCAAAAAAATATGTACAATTTTATCGCACAGGCGTTGCAATATATGCGAGCGGCGCTTCGCGCCGCCTCGCTGCGCTCGCTATTAATAATGCATATAATTATCTTGAATGTGTTTCTATAAATTAACACTAAACAGGTACTTGGATCTTGCCATGTAAATATGTACAGTATGGTGCAATATATCAGGGACCTATATAGGTCCCTGGTTTTTTTCAATGAAAATTTAATGAGAAGAGTCTGCTTAGTGAAAAGTATCGAAAAAAATGTAACATAGGAGGACTAGCTCTCTCGAGGATTTATTAGGCAAATGGATAAACGAATACTTGGCAAAATATTTCACCAGGATTTCTTTCTTATCTGTCCTTATAAATTCCACAATGATAGATCTTGCATTGTATAATAGCAAATTGCCCCCATCCAACAGACATTTCCTACCTCCATTGCGAAAGGATTTTGCTAAGTTAAGTAAACATGATATCAAGTATTAATTTCAACATAAATGAGAAAGGATATTTGGAAATTATTTGAGCACTGGTTAAAGTTAAATTACAGATGATGAACTAAGTTATGGCCTACAGGGCAAGCAGAATTTTTTCAAGAACTGATTCAGATCTAGTTATCAAAATTATAAGCCTTGATTCAGAAGAAAGTTTTGGTCTTTTTTAATCTATTTAGATTAAATATGTATATATTTTACTTACAGTAGAAAGATGCCCAGGACTTTATTGTGGGAGAATTCCCCTAGGCAATAATAACTACAGTGAGTGTGGGGTAAGTGCAATAAGAAAGATTTATAACACTAAGAGATCACGGCATTGCTCCTGTATAGGAGAGCAACACTAAGAGATCATTGTGATAGCTTCTGTATTTAGGAGCAATTCTAAGAAATCAATGGCATAACTTCTGTATAGGTGAGCAACACTGAGATCATTAGCATAGCTTCTGTATAAGAGAGCAATTCTAAGAGATCACTGGCATAGCTATTGAATAGGAGAACAACACTAAGAGATCATTAGCCTAGTTTCTGTATAGGAGAAAACACTAAGAGATCATTAGCATAGTTTCTGTATAGGAGGACAACACACTAAGAGATCATTAGCATAGTTTCTCTATAGGAGAAAACACTGAAAGATTATAAGCATAGTTTCTGTATAACAACACCAAGAAATCACTGGCATAGTTCTGTATAGGAAAACAACACTAAGAGATCATTGATTCTGCTTCTGTATAGGAGAGCAACTCTGAGAGATCACTGCAATATCTTCTGATTAGGAGAGGAACATTAAGAGATGATTAGCGTATATTCTGTATAGGAGAAAACGCTAAGAGATCATAAGCATAGGATAACAACACTAAGAAATCACCTCCATAGTTTCTGAATAGAAGAACAATGCCAAGAGATCATTAGCATAGTTTCTATATAAGAGATCATAAGCATAGTTTCTGTATAAGATAACAACACTAAGAGATCACTGCCATAGTTTCTGCATATGAGAACAATGATAAGAGATCATTAGCATAGTTTCTGTATAGGAAAACAACACTAAGAGATCATTGGTTTAGTTTCTGTATAGGAGAAAACACTAAGAGATCAACAGTGTAGATTCTGTATAGGGGAACAAAACACTAAGAGATCACTGCCATAGCTTCTGAATAGGAGTGGATATTTAGGAGATCATTAGCTTAGCTTCTGTGTAAGACAACAGTACTACAAGATCATTGGCATGGCTACCATGTGTGCTTATGAATATCATTTTGCAAAAATAAATATAAAACAAAAAAAATCATAAGAAAATTTTAAAATATTGAAAATGATGAAAGGTATAAGCATGTAAGTACATATAGTACTTATATACCATATAAGTTAAATTTTCAAATATTTTAAAAAAATATATAAGGTTTAATTTGAAACTCTTTAGTAGTTGAGAAGTTTCTGATACATGTAGTACCTTTAGTATGTATGCCACTGTTAGCTGCAGATCTGTAGCTCTCTGAAAAAATAATTTGACAGGCCGGAGAGCTACAGTGCCACCCATTGAAAAAACTGTATATTTATTGCACACAAAAAAGTGCGCTGTTTATCAATTTATTTCTCCATGTTTTTGAAACTATAATCTCAAAATATTACTAACCGTGTATCCCTAACACAATCTTTCACTGTTTCCACAACAAAACATACCTTATAGTTGTTGTTTATAGCCCTCCTGGCCCTGAAATCGAGATCATCGACAATTTTGTCTGTTTATACTGCCATTTTGGTTGTAAGATAATTTGGCCCAACGCGCCTAGTGTAGATGTCAACTACGAAAGTACTTATTAGAAGAGTACGAAATTTTTTTGAAATCTAATTTTTGTGCAATTTGGAAGAATTAATCCATACACAAGCGCAACTTTTTGTGAGCAATAAATATACAGTTTTTTCAATGAGTGGCACTGTAGCTCTCCGGTCTATCAATATATATTTTTCTGAGAGCTACAGTTCTCTGCAGCTATGCCACTGTGGGATATGGAGACCGGTCCCTTCGGATGAAACTGTATACTAAACCCAGGTCTTGTGTCGCAGTAGGTGCTGGCACGAAAAAAAAATCCCTCACTGCTCAATCCTTGCTCAATGGCCCTAAGACAATGCTGAGTTCAGGTCAAAATTTGCAGCTCTCCAACAGCAGGGATGTTAAACAACAAACAAACAAATCCCACCATTTGGTTGACTGCAAAAGTCAGGTGATGATCCTTATGTAGTGGATTCGAACCCCATTGCAGAACATGGAGACTGATGTTTCAGATGGAACTGTATATAATGAAGTCCCATGAAGGAGTAGGTGCTGGCACAAAAAGATCCCTCACTGTGCCAAATATAGATCTTCTTGAAATGTAGGTTGCAAAACTGGGCAGCGGATATTTCTTGCGTGTGGATAAAAGCTGGTTTACAGTATTAAAGTTCTGATTTTATATTTTAAAATCCAAATGTTTAGTACAATAAAAAAAGTGTCTGAAATTTTGCTTTTCATATTCTTTTACTATATTTCCAGACATATGTATTGATATTATATGTATTTACCTCACACAAAATCAATAGTTCTGTACTATATTTCAATAAATTGTCTCTTCTTCTCTTTAACAGTTTACAATGATTTTATTAACTGATCAAAGAGCTAATAGAGAAATACTGAATTTTAAAATTGTGCATCACTTATGGAATATATTATTTCTTAAAAGATGATTTTTTTTAAAAGTTGCATGAGCATTATTAAAAATAAAAACACATTATTTTCTAGGCATGTCCCAGAGGCTACCAGCCAAATGAAGAAAGCATATGTTTGGCTTGTGATTCAGAGCCAACATTTTATGATTGGATGTACCTGGCTTTTATGGCTCTCCTGTCTCTTGTTCTCCACTGGTTTTTTATTGATTATACCAATAGAAAGAAGACAACAAAGTGAGTATAGTAATTGGTTGGGATTTTTTCCCACATAGACTGTTGATAATAATCTTCTGCTTTGAAGCAGATCTAAGAAATACCTGACAGCATTTACAATAGTTATAGTGCATATCAACAGCTTAACATGCAGCTTGATTGAAACTTCAATTAAAAATGCTTCTTATGCAGGAAGTTTCACTTTCATTATCCTCATTTAAAAATTAGAATGATCAGAGAAATCATGTCAGTGATTACCTGTGCACATCTTGAAGTTCTAACAAAACAGGTTTTTAACAAAAAAGACATCAATTGTATAAAAAAAAAGTGTTATGTTTATTATAATCAGATGGCAAAAACTTTTGTTATACAGAAGCACACTCAAGAAAAAAGTGTCACAGCGGAGAGCTAAAATCTTGAATGATATACCATATACAGTGGTATATGCAGAAACTTTAGCAAGCTTTAGATTTAATTTTGGCATTATTAGTGAAAAAAGTGTCACAGCAGAGAGCTAAAATCTTGACTGATATACCATATACAGTGGTATATGTAGAAATTTTAGCAAGCATAGGATTTAATTTTGGCATTATTAGTGAGGGTGTTGAGATCACTTGAATTAAACTTTGCTAAAAATTAATTGCATTTTTTGTAATAACTTCTTTAATGAGCTTTTTAAGATGGCGAAAATTACATCTCACTAAAAATAAAATACCAATTTTTAAGGACAAATCGCTAAATTTACCTTTCGCTGAAATTTCCACTTATACGGTACTAGACTAAGCAGTATTGGGTAGGGACAAGAAGCAAAAATGTGTTCAATAAACCTAGATATTTAGCCTGGCAGTTAGGCTAAGTGCTACAATCTAGAATACAACCCATAGCTCAAAATATTTCATTTTTTTGCTACAGATCCCTCATCTCACTCCACATATCAGCTCTACTGGAGAGCATCATTGCGGCCATTTTGACGCTGTTGCTGGTTGAACCATATGGATCTTTAACAGTCCGCTCCTGTCCCGTTAGTAAGCTCTCGGACTGGTACTCCATGCTGCTTAATCCACAACCCAACTATACCAAAACTCTGTACTGTACACAGGAGATTGTGTACCCACTGTAAGTTAATATTGGTAGATTTTATAGCAATTTTATTGAAATTGAACATTTGCTTGTATAGTTTACAAGATAATGTTACACAGTTTATGACATTACATTGTATACAGAAAATTGTACAGAACAATATCATAAAACTTGTTTAACCTGGAATCTAGTCTACTGAATTCATAAGAATTTGTTAGATTATACAGGTATATAATTTTGAAAATGTATTAAAGAACAGAATTTACTGAAGGGATATAAGTTTTTCAAGATTTTAACATCCATGTGGGACAGATTTTCTGTATACCAAGTAAAGTAGATACATTTTTACCAAATTTGCGTGTACATTGCTTTCCCAAAAATATTATTCTTAAAAATTCACTAATAACAAAAAATGTTTTAAAAAATTTCACTAACAGTTGTCGTCTTTCTTAACCCAGTCAACAGTTGTTTGTAAGCAGTGGTCATTTAAAGAAACCTATTTATATTATAATGTACAAGCTAATTACTCTGTAATAATTCATTTGTGGAAATGCATTTGTTATTGAAAGTTGGCATTGTTAAATATTTTATGTGAATGTGTAATGATTGGTGCTAGTACACAGTTCAGATTACAGCTACTTTTTTGTTTGTTTTGATCAGCAAGATTAAAAAAATAAGCCATTGAATGTCATAGCTAACAGTAGTATTCACGTCAGAGTCGGATCAAAACAAACGTAATTCATTCATCTCACGAGAAAAATATATCCCAGTTGTAAACATTCCATGTTTACCTTTTTTACTGTCACACGTCCTGCATGTTTGCGGACGGCAGCAAAGTAACTGACGTAGATTAACAGTTTTCCAGCGCTGGCGAAGGGCTTTGTCACATGAAGCTGTATGAACGCGTTTTATTATCTAACTAGACAGGATCATAATTACCCGTTAAAAAAAAAATTCTACCGTGAGACCGAAGGTGTGTCTATCACAATTTGATATGTGTAGACATGTTAGTATAATAATGTTTATCTTTTTTTTCCAGGTACACAATAGTTATGATATATTATGCCTTCTCACTTCTCCTAATGATGTTGGTGCGGCCTGTCATATCGTACAAGTTTACGGAAAAGAAAGGGACCAAGTCCATTTATGCCGCACTATACTTTCACCCAGTTTTAATTGTCTTACAAGCCATGCTAAGTGGCCTTCTTTGTAAGTGATGCCAATTTTTTTTTTCTGTTTATGATTTTTTTTTTTTAATGATGACTTATACGCTAAGTACGTGCATCCTTAAAATAATCATAATTAATATTAGAAGCATGTCTTGAACATAATGAGAATGACCTGCATGCAAAAGTTTTCCTGTTAATTTAAGGCATTATTTAAATATAGCAAAGCTGGAAAAAATGTGGAAGAATATTCCATAAAATAATTTTTTTGGCGAATAATTCTGTCATTGCATAATTGCATTCATTTTCAGAATCAATGTTCAGCAAATCCTCTGAAAAGCTGGATCGCTTTAGTATTCTTTTACAAATTATTGATTTGTTAATGTTATATCCATAAAATAATGAACTAGTAGCTAGAGTACAATTCTTAATCTTATTCAGCATTTATTTTCACAATACTATCTTGAGAATTGCCGGTAAAATTTCAGTCCATCCCTTGATTTCATATTCATTGATTTGTACACTTTCTAAATGAAAGAAAGTTGCTGAGGCAACAATTTTCTCCTAATTATATTCCCCATTCACTGGAACAGCATGAAATTGTCATTTTCTGTACCTGCTTAACACCTTGCCTGTCATTAAATATAATCAATTGATAAATCATTTTCATTTACCAGCAGTACATGTAGTCTAAACACATCAGCATTTCTTAAAATTTTTATGTTTGGTCCCTTATCCCTTATGAAGCAATACAATCAAAACCAAATTCAGCATGTTTCTCCTTTAAAGTGCACATTTTTAAAAAAAAAATATTTTTGATTTAAGAAGTAAGAATTTTCACATAATTTTATATAGAAGAGAGACTGTGATAGTAAAACTTTTGATAGATCCCTTATCCCATAATGAAATCTAGAATTGAGACCATATTTTACCTGTTTTTTCCTCCATTAAAACACATTTTTTTTTTCCATTTTCATTTTTTTTAGGGGGGGGGGGGGTAGGTAACAAGCTGAAAATTTTCCCATAATCTCATTTAGCAGACATACTGTAATAGTAAATTATACATTACCAGTACCATCGATCCTTTATATTCACAAATATAATTTAAAAAAAAAAACCAACATAATAACAAATTACTTTAATTCAGAATACCCATAAATTATCATTGATTTTTTTTTTGTGTGTGCCATATCATTTTTTTCCCCTGTCAAGGGATCAGGTGCAATTATATGACAGGTTACATAAAAAAACTGCTGACAAACTGTAGATAGTCAATCTCTGTCTAAAGTTAATTAAAGATTTCTTGTTTTTGCAGACTACTCATTCTCGTACTTGGTCATAGCTGCCTCTTTGATCACTGGCGTTATTCATTTATCTGGATGTGATTTGGTAAGTTCATTAGAAAGAAATCACGGGTACGTAAAACGTATGACGTCAACCAGCTGACAAACATCTGGTCGCAGGTACATTAAACAGGTTTATGAGGACACTAATGAGTTCTAGTAATTCACGTTTTGATCTGGGGGGGCTCAAGTTTTTGAAGTGTTTATTGATCATTTATATCCATATAGTATAGGGTTTTTTCCTCTGTGCATCTAGGGTTTTATATTTTGTTGCAAGTAATTAATTTGGCACTTATTGAAAAATCTCCTCAATGGAATTATTCTCTAAATTAAAATAAGCACTCAACATACCATAAATTGCAAATTTATCCATCAAACAGTACTTAGATTTTTTTTTCTTAAATACAGGATAAAAATAGAGTATTTTAAAAGAATATTACCCAAGAGTAGGATAGCTAGTTGGCTCTCATCTTGAATAAATGATTGAATGATGCCCTAAACCTACCTGTTTTGATCATTTCTTGAACTTCCTAGGGGGATTCAAATATTCAACTTTAGAAATTTCCTGACAAGTAGGAAACTGTTTTTCTACTGGTTTAAAAAATTGTATGAAATCATCTGTATGATATTGCCAGTAACTGGAGAAAAGGTTTATATAAGACTTATGAAATTATGTTTTTACTTTTCATATTGATATTTATCAGTGTGAATGATTTGGTAATTCTTTTAACAGATATGTTGAAATACCGTATATCCGTTTTTTTTCGCGATGGTCTATTTTTCGTTTTTTCTGCAATCATTTTTAATTCACAAAATATAATACATGCAGAAATTATGTTAGTTATAATGTGACATAAAAATATTACCATTTTTAGATAAAAATCTTTAATCCTAAAAATAACTTATGCAAAATAAAAACTGTACAAATCTATCCCTTTTTTGCAAAATTTCGAATACGCGAAAAAAACGGATATACGGTATGTATACATCTAGGTACATGCACACTTAGTATTAGGAAGGTAACCCTATGTAAACTTAATCTCAATTAAACCAATAATCACAAGTTTTGTTATTGTTGGAGGAATACTAGTAGCATTTTTGAAAAAAATATGTTAACATTAAAAAAAATGGATGGAAGCAGTCTCTTAATTGGCGAAGTCTTTAATTAGAGCTAATTAAAACTATGGTTCTCTTTAGACTTCAAAATTATATCATACTGTTTAGTAACTTGAAGTTGTATGTATCAAATCTTACTTAAATAATTAATAAAATTGAAATGTTAGCATTTTTTTTCATTTACATAGAATTTTTTTCCAGTCATCTTACTCTTCAGTGACCAAAGACATTTTCCTGAATGGCCGGAATCTGACAATTCTTGTGGGGCATTGGTTCCTTCACGCGTTTGGCATCATCTCACTAACTCAGCTTACACAACTCGAGATCCACCTCCCGATTTTGGCCCTGGTTCCGTTTCCTACCATATTCTTTATTCTCACAATCCAGTTTTCTCACCCTTCTCACCTTGAGGATGTTAACTGAGAAACACAGTCCCGGGGTAAAATAACTGGATAAAGATGCCAGCGTGTCCATTTCATCCAATTTGGATTGATTTCAGTTCATCCCATTTGGATTAAGATTTCAATTCATCCAATTGGATAAAGATTTTATTTCATCCATATGGATAAAGATTTCAATTCATCCATTTGGATAAAGATTTTTCAGTTCATCCAATTTGGATAAAGATGCCAGCATGTCCAACTAGATAAAAGATGTCAGCTTATTCAATTATTTGGAAGAAAGTACTGTGTTCCCTAAACTCCCTTTAGGATTACAAATGTTGTGTAGATATGGAGAACATTTGGTATTATTCATGATCGCCTTTGAATAACATTTGAATGAGTGGATATGGATTTTTTTCTACAAGTGAATACATCCAGGGGTAATCCACTAAGTATGCAGACTAAAATATGAATCATTTATATTAAATGAAAAAAGAAATTTGAAAATGAATGTGTGAGAAATTTGCGTTTGATTATGATGATCCATGTCTTTGCTTGGAATGTTCTCTACTCACCAAAGGTCATCTCTAAAATGAATGCAGTCATGATTGCTTTGTGCTATGTACAGCTGTGATAATTGTTTGTGGCAGATATACATGTACATGTAGCACTATTTTTAGCTCACAATAGATCCAGCTTATTTTCACCCAATCAGTGATTCTTTATTTAGAGCATGTATCCCTAATTATAGTACAAGTATATTATCCTAAAGAAAGAAAAATATAGATTTTCTAGACACAACCTAGGCTAAATAGAGGCAAAGAACAAACAATAGCTGTAGGCTTTTCCATAAATATAAGCCTAAATATAGATTTTGTGGCTACTTATATTTGTATTCATGAATACCTTATTTAACATTATTCTTCTGAAGACATGTTTATGTAAGAGATTAACCTCTTTTTGGTTTGATTCATTTCTATTTTCAAGCTAATGTTTCACTGCAGTTTTTATTTATTAAAAATAATTAAAAGCATTTTAGGTTATTTATTTTCATACAATCACAAACCCTTTGAAATAAATTGATGTTACTTTTTCATTCTGCAGTTGCTTAATGAATTTAATAAATTAGAAAAAAAAATCATAAATGTGTATATTTTGTATACTAGTATTTTTAGAGATTTAAAAGTAGTTCAAAATTCCAACCATTATTTTCTCATAGTTATATTTGTGAAGCTGATTTATGTAAACTACAATTCATGTGCAGTAAGCTTTGCAAATTTTTTTATTTAAAATAAAGAAATAATTATCAAAGATCAATTTATAAATTTGGGATATTTAATCCTCATAGGCATCTGATCCCAACTCTGAGATTCTGGAGGTTCGTTATCCTTATCACAAACTGTAAACCAACTTTTATTCGTGTGCGAGAAATTTTCACGAGGTTAGCGAGAGTCTCTTCATCGCAAATATTTTTCGCCGCGAACGGGTCCTTAAAGTCTTTGTGTCTGTCAACAACTGATTCAAAAAGGCTTGATCACGAAAATTAATCGTCACGAACTAGTAAACCCTTGGTAAATTGCGAAATAAAGTCGTCGCAAGTTATTTACAATAGTTGGTTTACAATATTTGTATATTTTGTAGATTTTTTAAAAAAGATTAATCACTTTTCATAATTTTTATTTTTTTTTAAATTACAATTAACAATCTACAAATTGAGCTTTATTTGTGCACTTTTAAGGATTTATTAAGTTGGAATATTGAACTCTTCGACTTTTCATATACCTTGATCTGAAGTTTCATCATTTTGTCTTCACTTCTGGAGGACCTCTTATTACTGGCATTCTTTCATCTTGATTTGAATTGTGCCCGCAAAAGTTTTATTTGTTCCATTTGTGCGATTTTGACATTAAAAGATTTTGGATACAGTTGAAAGTATATATTGGATGTGTTCATTTATAATTGAGAAAGTGTTGGAAACATGAAATTCAGCGGGATGTTACCGAAAACCTCAAAAAATTTGTTAAGTAAGGTGACAGCAATTGAATGTACTTTTCATACCCAAATACTGTAATGGAGTCTTCAAAATACTGTAATTTTGGTGAAAATACTGTACACTGTTTATAAAAAAAAACCGTTCAAATAGAAGGGACACAAGCATGCGTTTTTAATCAACAAAATGTTTTATTCATTTAACAGACCTGTTTACTCTTAGATTTCGCCGTATTTTGTACGGATTTTTAGTCTAGAATACGTCTCACGTTTTGCCATTATGAAAATACGGAAATCAAAAATACGTTCATCTGGAATTTAACAGTAAGTTTTTGTGTTTTGATCTGTCTTAGTTTCACGCTTTTTATTGCTAAAAAAGAGAGAGATTTCAAACTCATAAGCGATGTCAGGTTGCCAAAACGCTGTTGTATTATAAAATGACAAAAACCATGTTGTTAAACCATGTTTTTGTAATCAGATATGCAGTTGTTCACTATTAATATATGTAAAATTGATGGAAGGTGAAATCTTTAATCAACAAACTAATCAAAAATTTATGGGTTCTGATTTAATCAAACGTTTTCATTGTGTAGGTACTAATGGAATAATGAAAAGTATCTCCTGAAAAAATATGGACAATAGTAGAAACCGGTGAACAAATTTATACAAGGTCAAGGACAGAAGTCAAAAAAAAAATCGTAACAAAACGTGAATTTTTGCTTGGATATGCTAAAACTGAATAAGAAGTCCTTAGTGTACGTTTTTTTTTTTTTTTTTGATAAATAAGAAGTGCATAAATGGCAACCTTAATACGAAAAGTAGGTATTAATTATCAAGCTATACCAATGTATATCATCTCTCATCAGTCAATAAAAACATAAAAACATAGTTTTGTTCTTTAGGATGGTTATAAAATGTTACGTCTTTTGAGCGTGGGCACCGGTATTTGCTAGGTAATATTATCTAGTCCTTTTTACCAAAATTACGCGAATTGCACTGTTTCAATGGAACTACTGAGTAGTTATCATCACAGACTATTCACTGTGGTGGATAAGTAAAAACGCTAGTACATGTAAATCGTTTCCAAGACTTGCATATGACGTCATGAAACAATGGATTCCTCGTCAGAAGTAGACATAATATCAGCTAAATCGACATCTTGAAAGCCAATAGACGAATCAGAGAGAAATGACTCGTCATCCACATCCGTCAGCGTCGTATCACTACAGTAGACCTCGTTTTCGTTTGGGGGCCACTTCACGTAGACTGGTTTTGCTGTGGATGCCCCCTCACTTCTATCCGGAAACAAAACATAAATGGTTTCCTGGTCCAACGACTCTCTTCGGTCAATGGGTTTTGTGGCCGGACTTACCTCAACAACGCTGTCTTCGGACGATTCCGTAGACGAAGAACTTTCGGAAGTGTAGTCTGTGAACAGTCCTCCCTTGGCGAAGGTTTGCCGTTTTGTACTAGTACTTGTAGGTTCCAAGAAATTATCGAAAGTTGGCGGTTTTAGTTTCGAGTCATCCATGTTGCTTGGTACCTTTTGCTTTCTGTTTCTTGGAGACTGAGAGATTAATTTGAGCGTTACCTGGACACAGTAGTCGGTGTTATTGCCAGAATACAACAAAGCTTCTTTGAATCCATTGACCAACAGTTCGGGGGAGATCGGTCGTGATGAAGAAGAAACATGCTTCAGCTCTGAATTGAAATAATACCCACTTTTTGATATTGGCGGAAGAGCATCGGATCGGAGAAAGTTATTGGTGCTGAGGTCTTCATATGAGTTTGCAGGCGACTGCTGCTTAATGCCTTGTTGGAGTAAGATTTTCTCGGTGAAGTCGCCAGAGACGTGATTAGGAAGTTTAAGTCCCGGCTCCTTGACAAATACAACAGGTATCCCTTGCTCTTGAGCGTAACTGAGCGCCTGAAGATATGAAACATTGTGAAGACTGGAAGTTGTCATAAAGAAAACGATCCCATCAACACTTTCTATGTCTAAGGTCATGTCTTTGTTGCTCTTGAAACAGTTCACAAAAACTTCAGATGATAAACTGCACACAAGAGGAGACCATTTCAAAGTTTCTGAGTGTTCAGACGGCATCCCTATGATTCCGATATGAAATTTTTCATGTCGAGCACAAGATGGACACTGCGGAGCAGACGACAACTCTGATGACACGGATATTGTCGGCATGTTGAATGGTTCTGAACGCTCTTGTGGTGTATGACAACTAGAGAGTGGTCTCTTAGGCAAAGGTTTTGTTCCAAGAGACAAAATCTCCCAGATTTTTCCCGTGGAACGGTGATCAGCGAGTGTAGGATATCTTCTAATTAGTTCCAATACTTTGGCGAAGGTTCCTTCGTTTTTTGTCAAATATTCCAGACTTGATTTGTAGGTCATATGAGAGGTAAGGGGGGATTTTTTCCTGTTCACGGTTTCTACAGACAAACTCGGCAGTTGTCGTCGGCGAACTTGAGTGCCTGGGGAGTTATGCGATGCCATAACTTGTTGAAAAAAGCGTCATACTGCAACAGAAAATGATGAATTCATGACAGACGAGTTACTTGTATTGAAATATATCTGGTTTCGATTAATGGAAAAGTATACACAATCTTAGAATTGATCGTGAGAGTTCAGAAAAAAACTGAATAAAGCGTTTTCTTTAAATACATGTACCGTAAAAAGTAGAAAGAAGAGAAAATCATCTTTAGGAAAACTTCAGCCGAGTTGTTTCTTTCCTTATCCCCATATTCAATTCTATATATACAATTCTTAAGACAATTTTTGAAGCTTGACTGAACCTAAAGCTTAAACGAGTCACTGTCTAGTTAGAAGAGTATGTCAGGGCATCAACGATAGTTGGAAACACATGATAATTTGCATAACGGATGAAGCACATACTCTCTTATCTCTAAAGGCAAACTTGGTTAATAGTAAGTTACCAGTAAGACTCACTATACTGAATTATTCAAATTATCAAAACCATGGACTTCATTTGCTATCAATTAGACGGAGAGGAATAAGAGGAAACATCTTTCCTGTACATACTCAAGAGGGGGGGGGGTGTTACTAAGGTGAGCGTTAAAGTCCGTAAGCCTTTGCTTATTTATGCTGTTTGAACGATCAGTAACCGTATTGATTAAACACAGATTTTTTCATTTAATCAAACGCTGCCATTAGTCTAAAACGTTTCAAAATCGATTTTGAATCTATAGTAAATTGTCATAGATAGCATTAAAATTATTTAGATAATTTTTCTTTAAATCTTCCTACCTTACTTGCTACTGTGGCTTGCCTTTAGCAAAGAGACGATGTGTGCAAAGTAAACAGAACCACTATGGTCCATCTCCATTCTAATGAGCTTGTCAGTTACACAGCGTTTTTATGGTGGTTTCAGGGTTAGCTTTTTCCATGACAACGGAGGAAATGAAATGGGCATCGATCCGACATAGGTTAATATATAAACATTGGCATGCAGGTTGAGACAATAACCTTTTACGTTCACACAGAACTTTATGACGTGTGTTAAATCCAAGAGCATATTCATTTTCAGTAATATTGACGCTAAACAAAGTACATGTATAGTTTTTCACTGCCATTTGAGATTTAGAAAAACTATAATAATAGTATTTCACCATGGGATATAATTATTACCCTCTACCTTCTTTGAATACAGAATTTCGAACGCACACTGAGAGATATATATTATGCAATTTATTATTTAAATCCAGAAAAACATTCCAAGGAAGACTCTAAAATTCGAAACCATAATTTTGATGTACGATCATACTTTGATATGTCAATTAACATTTTCTTCTCCTTTGAAAGATTTCAAGGGCCCAAAATATCAAAAATATTATACATGTATGTATTCTCCCTAATATCATTTGACGTATGAAGCATTTCTTCTGATCAAGTTTGATTATAATGATAATTCAAAATTTGGTAGATATGAGTATATAAAACAAAATATGTATATTACTTTACACCGAAAAAAAAAACAAAACAATTACACTTTCGTATAATTTCCTTTTATATTCCAAATTAAAAAAAAAATATGCGGAATTAAAAAAAATATGTCAATACCAAATACTGTGAAATCACTAATTTTCGTACGCGTTTATTTTCGTGTTTTTTCGAGGTAGGAAGAGACCCACGGATTTATGTCCACTGCGAAGTGTAATTTTTCACAAATATAACACAACTCAACAATTCTTAATCCTCAAAATTAAATTCCTACGAACTCGTAATTTTTCCTCAAACCACTAGTACTAAAATTTAACACACGAAAATATGTAATTTTACAGTATGTCCAACTACAAGCGATCCTTCGGCTTGTGGAAGTTTTAAATACTAGTATTACAGAAAAAAAAATATTTAATTTTTACTTTTTGACAGAAATGAAAACAGATCGATTTCATCAATGCAAAGCTTCTCAAAGTTCAATAAAGTAATGAAAAAATGTAACGAACCAGTACCGTGAAACCTGTCTAATCCGACATGCTCTGGGAGACGAATTTTGTGTCGGAAGAGATAGGTTGTCGGATTGCATAGTGTTAAAAAGATGGAAATTAAAAATATGGGAAAGAAATTTAACGTCGGAATTCACAGCGTCGGATTGTTCAGGTGTCGGATAAGACAGTTTTTACTGTATATAGATTTATAAGATTTGGTTTTTTTTTAAATATATACCGATCCATGGTCCATTTTTTGTTTAAAGTTGCATTGACACTCTAGATATCAGACAATACAAGTCAGCAGATTTCTGTACGGTAAAACATAACACAAGTAAATTTATAAATCGTAATGAAAATAAAACTAAGCTGGACACGGTACTTCAAATGATGGGAGGTCAAAGAAGTACAAATCAGTACTACATTAGAGATGTTTCACGTAAAGATGCCCTTTTTTAACTTTCTTAAATTACGGTAGATTGAAAATTTTGAGGCTCAAAGAAAAAAAAAGCGATTCTATATCATTTTAATACTCATAATTCACCACAAGAAAATCGAACGTAAAAAATTCCGTCACTGACCACCGATGAGGTCAATTATTTCTTCTTTTTGACGTCATTCGAGCAGCACCCGTTGATTATTTGAAAGGTGAGGTGCCATCATACGAAAAATTATGCGTTATAATTAATGTATTTTAACACATATTTATCTCCTTATCACGTCACAATGTTGACAGAAAATTAAACAATTATTGAAGTTTCATATCTAGGATCTGCAATAAAAGTTAGAAAGCGATATATTACATGTATTTGTACTAAGAATCTAAAGACACAGGTACCTAACGAAAGGATAATCCTCCCTCCCCGCACCCTCTGAGAATTTTTTAACACGCTAATTTATCCAAAATACACGAAATACCACACCCATATTTTGATTTCTGATATAAAAAAGCAGTGATGTTTCCACCAATGTCCATCATTAATGCCTAGGTCACATTTAAGCCGGCTGGGGTTTAACACATACTCTAAGGATCGGTCGATGTATGTCCGAGCATCGTCCCGTGTTTGTTGAATCTGAGGTCATTGTAAGGGAGGAGGCAGACATCGGCCGATCTTCGGTCGTACATTGCATGGGCGTAACGCGTAAAATCCCAGTCACATTTTCAAAAACGACCGACGGCCGACGGTTTTTGAAGCAAAAATGGGATTCTTTGGGTGACTGAGGGCAGTTCATCTGTCGTTTTGACCTCTTTTTTTTCGACCGACCAATTTTGTGTCCATCGGTTTAGTTATATTTTTTTTGTATCGGTGGCCCATTTCATCATTTGAAGCAATCCAACGACCATGCAACCTTCGATCATCGTCCGACCATTGGCGATCTGTTTATAAAGTTCGCGTTCGGCAATACGGGTTTCCAAAATTTCGGCCGACGGTTAAAATCGAACTGTAATTTATCAGTTACATTATCCAGCGATGGGGTATACGATAAGAAGCCGATGAGTTTTTTTTTAAATGGCTTGGTTGCCGGCCGGACACCTACAGTAATCGGACAGTAACTGAGGCCATTTGGCTAATCGCTGGGGGTCATCGGTAGAAAATAAGTTGTAGTTAAAAATCAGTCTCCACCGATGCTCCACATCGTCCTCATCGGCAACCCATCATTAAAACATCTCTCAAAAATTGGCCGATCATCGTCAAGTGTCCGTTGAATCTAAGGTCATCGGGGGGCTGAGTGATGGTCAGCAGACATCGGCTGATCATCGGCCGATGTTCGACCAAACATTGCCCATAGTCGACCAACGTACGAACGATGTTCACCAATGTGTGAGCGATGTAATATACATTGGCCGATTAAGTACCCTAAAACATCGTTTTATGTTTAGCAATGCATCGCTGGCCAGCCGGCAAACACGCCATTTTTATTTAAAAAAAACGCATTGGTTGCCCATCGTATACCCCATCGTTGGATATCTTAACTGATACTTTAAGGACTATTAGGCTGATATGGACCGATGTTGGGGCATCGCTCACACCACCACGGATTACCACCGGTCTATGACCATCGCCCGGGAAATGTGACTAGAGCATAAGTCAGAGCCCGATGATCGGGCAACGAGTGTCCGACTTATGAATAATTAACTTATTAAGGATAAATGACACAAAAAGAATTTCGATGCATGATTTGATTTATAATTTTTGAATGGAAATGACACAAAAATAAATCCGTAAAATATAAAGAAATCTTAGTTATCTTTGCTGCTTATATATGCACCTTTTGTCGTTCTATACAAAACTTTGCACACATCTTTAACAATTTGTCACATGTTTACAAATTCTGCCACTCTGCCTTGCAAACATTTGAAAATATTGCGGATTTCTAAAGAAAAAAGAGATTTTTTTGTGATTTATCCAAGTAATAGGTATTCCTGGGAATTAATGTGACTGCTCCTTGACCGATGAGGACCGTTGGGGCATCGCTCACACCACCGATTACCACCGGCCTGGAAATCTTAATGTAATGCCTAAAGTATAAGTCACATTATCCAACGATGGGGTATACAATGAGAAACCGATGCGTTTTTTGATGAAAATGGCGTGGTTGCCGGCCGGGCACCACTAGTGATCGGACGGTGACTGAGTCTTTTTTTGCGAATCGGTGGGGTCATCGGTAGGAAATAATTCGTAGTTAAAATTCAGCGATGTCTCCAACGATGCCTCACATCGCTCCTCATCGGCAACCCATCATTAACACCGCCATTTGGCACCGATGTGGACCGATGTGGGGCATCGTTAACACCACAGATTACCACCAATTACCACCGGTCTATGGCTACCGGCCGGGAAATGTGACCTAGGCATTAGTCACATCTTTCGGGCGGTGGCCGTAGACCGATGGTAATCCGTGGTGTGAGCGATTCTCCAACATCGGTCCACATCCTCCTAGTAGTCCTTAAAGAATCAGTCACATTATCCAGCGATGGAGAATACGATGGGCAACCAAAGCGTTTTTGATAAAAACGGCGTGGTTGCCGGACGGACTTACAAAGGACCAACGATGCATCATAAAACGACGTTTCAGGGTAATCGGCCAATGAATATTACATCGCTCATACATTGGTGAACATCGTTCGTACGTCGGTAGACTAGAGGCCAATGTGTGGTCGAACATCGACCGATGATCAGCCGATGTCTGCTGACCACCACTCAACCCCCTGGTGACCTCAGATTCAACGGATACTTGACGATGCTCGGCCATACATCGGCCAGTCCTTGAGAGGTGTGTTAATGATGGGTTGCCAATGAGGAGCGATGTGGGGCATCGGTAAAGACATGAGCTGATTTTTAACCACAACTTATTTTCTACCGATGACCCCCATCAATTCGCCAAATGGCCTCAGTCACCGTCCGATCGCTGTAGGTGTCCGGCCGACAACCACGCCATTTTTATGAAAAAAAAAAACTCATCGGTTTCTCATCGTATACCCCATCGACGTCGGCCGATCATCGGTCGATGTTCGACCAAACATTGGCCCATAGTCGACTGACGTATTAACGATGTTCACCAATGTATGAGCGATGTAATATTCATTGGCCGATTACCCTGAAACGTCATGATTAGCAATGCATCGTTGGGCCTTTGTAGGTCCATCCGGCAAACACGCCATTTTTATCAAAAACCGGTGGTTGTCCATCGTATCCCCATCGCTGGATAATGTGAATGATGCTTCAAGACTATTAGACCGATGTTGATCGATGTTGGGACATCGTTCACACCACGGATTACCACCGATTACCACTGGTCTACGGCCACCGACCGGGAAATGTGACTAAGGCATAAGGCATTAACGTGCCAACGCCTGCTGACACACAGGACCTCGTTTTAAAGGTCTCATTCAATGGATCCATAACTTTGCCTTCAAA